CATGTGGGTGGCGATGGGACAGGGGAGCTAGCGAGGGCGTTTGGTGTGGTTGTGTGGGCGGTGAACAGGGGAGGTAGCGAGGGCGTGTGATGTGGTTGGAACAGGGAGAGCAACTAGGGCGTGTGGCCAGTCGGGCGCGCAGTGGTGACGGAGGCGTGGGGAGGACCCTGGAGTTGACAAGATGGGAGCGGGACTGGTTGGTCGCCTCGTCATTCTGAGTGTATCAATCAGCAGTAATGGCCAGGCCAACCCCGCCCCCACCCTCAGGTTCTTACACATAATCAAACAGTTCCCGGCGTGATGGTCTCAGGACGTGTTCCCTCCCTCCCTCCAATTGTACCATGATGGTGGCGGAGCACGCGTGTTCCCTCCCTCCCTCCCACCTTCCTCGCTTCTTATTCCAAGATGGTGGGAGAGTGTCCTCTTCACTCAGGCCAGCTGGAGAGAGCCTCACCAGTTCTGTCACTAGCATCATTGATAAATACCAAAGGACGTAATTGTAAGAAGTAAAGACACATGTAGGATGTTCTATTAAATATCTACTATAAAGTGCAGAGATAATCTTGTTAGCATCAAGCACGTTATACCGAGCACCAGATAAATCCATACCAGAAGTGTGAAGCTACCAAAACAAACATAAAATTACTCTGAATATATATATATATTAAAACTACACTATTTCCTGCCGTGCCGTCGCAGTAATAAGAATGAAAACAAAACATGAAATGTGAGAGAGTAGGGGCAAGAATGTTTTCCTTCGTCAGTGTGTGGACAACAGTCAACGTGCCCACTGTCTGCGAGGGCGTGATGGTGTCCCTTCACGTGTTACTGGTGTGATCAACCTGACATTCAGCGTCGAGTGCTCTGGTGGTGTGTGTTGCAACCAGCGAGAGCCACCTTTAGGGAGACAGCACAGTGTAGCCAGTAAAAGCCACCGCCAGTAATATCTTCACGTCCACCATCAACACCTCTCAGGAGAGACGGCAGCTGCAGTTCACACTCGCAAGAGCACGCTTTTGACCCAGGCGCTACAGCACACGTGTTCAATCTAGTAATATCTCGTTACCTGTGCACGACAGTTACCTGTAGTTTTGGTGTTCTGCGAGGAAAAAGTATCAAATTATTGTTATAAATGAATCAAAGTGTGTCTCTCTTCAACTCTCCTACAATAATCGTTTGTCATCAACGCGAGATGACAACACACCTACAGTACTTATGATCGTCTCACTGGATTCCCAACGCCATTGAAACAGTAATTTTTTATCGTTTGAGGATCCGGGTTATGTTTAGCTGCTCCACTAGACATGGCTGAGTCGTAAGAAGTGAAACAGTAACTGCGGCGAGAGCACAAGCTGACCCAGCCTCCGTTATTGCGAGCACCACAACCTGTGTCACTATATATCGTCTTAATAATTACATACCAGCTGACTGACGTACCGGAGTGAAAACAACATAATTCAGAGATGTGGCTGACCTTCGTAACCTGTGAACCACTCTGCGGTTATCGTCCCATCCCACACAGTTAATCCATCAAATATAAAGAAGATGTAAGTTTAATCTCACCTGGTTCTCACCTTGAGGTAGAGGTGAGGGCAGGGCGTCATAAACGTGCGTGGGAGGTGTCATGGGCACACACCTGTACACCTCCACTACCACACACACACACCATCGTTAGCTGGGGGCGCCACCGGCCTCTACACCGCTTCTCTCCCACTACAGCTCCACCTTCTCATGCCTGCTTACACTCCTCCACACCGACACAACGCCCGCTATCCAGATATTAATTCCACACCCGTTGTCGGGATTAAACACTCCTGCCTTCACTGAAGCAGTAATGACACACCCTCCTTCACTGCATCACTAATACTCAGCGAGATATAGATAACTGCTGCAGCCACTGTTCACCTCCGTTACTACACCACCAGCGGGGATATCACCGCTACGGCCACTGTTTACTCTGCCAACATTGCACGTTTAATATCACATAATATCACCGCTACGGCCACTATTCACTGCAGGTTTACTATCACCGCTAAGGCATGTATTCACAACAGTGAGCGACGCGGCGTCTACTTCAGCCGCCACCTGAGGTAAGACCGTCACCTGCAACACCTGGGCCACAACACCTTGCACCGCTGCTGCACGCTGCACTTGCACACTGGCTGCACTTGTGGATGTCACTGGCAGCAGCAGCAGCGGTGGAGGCGGCGAGGGGGCGACCGACCATATGGCAAACTGTGCTACCGAACTATCTCCCTCAATAACACTAATGATAGGATGGTGCACGTTACGGCGCACAAACCACTATAAATCCTCAACTGCAGCCGAGGAGGGAGGGAGGGAGGGAGGGAGGAGGAGGGAGGAGGGAGGCAGGTAGGTAGGAAGGGAGGGGGAGGAGCCCAGGTTTCAGTAAGAGGGGGAGGGGGGAAGGGGGGGTAAACATCGGGAAAAAGTTACACGGATAAGAACAATGAGACAAAATAACCGGGGCAAAAATTGCACACGTTGTCAATAGCGGCGGTGGCCACGGAGCGGAGGGTGGGGGAGGGTTGTCGGCGGTGATCAGGATGCACTTGTGTCTGCTTAGTCTCCAGACACAACGCCAGGTAAACTACACTCTGGTGCGGCCGAGCTGGCAAGACGGACAGACAGACTGACGGAAGTAAACACAAGAATCGTCACCAGTGATGCTCTAAGGGACACTATTTCTTTATAGGCTTGAGTTTACTCGACAACATTAAGTCAACAACCGAGAATATACGCCAGGTAAACTAGACATCGGTGGCTACACTGATGAAGGAAGGGACGGAGCAGCACACCACCAGGCTCTTCTTCACGGTCTCGTGTTAACTGCACTACATTAGTACAAGTGTCACTTAATTCCACGCAGGCCTCGGGAAACAAATTATCAGTGGCCATCTTGCCGACAGCCATACACACACCACTAACAGCCACACCAACAAGAGAGGCTGATGGAATGAAAGCTGTTGCTGTCTCCACTACAATTCCACTGAACTTTCAGCCGGGTTGACAAGTCGACAGTCTGACAAACAAAACTAACAGCTAGACCCGAAGTGTGAGAGGAGAGAGGCTGTTGTCGCCTCCACCACAAGTGTCGCTTTCCTCATGTCGTCACCACTGAGGTCGCCTCACACTAAATACACCACTCACTAACACAGTGTTATGAGGAGGGAGGGAGGGGCGGGGGAAGGACAACATTACCCGGTGTCACCTGATGTAGTTCTCTCTCTCAGCTAGGATTTGAGAAGTGAATAAAGAAGAGGAAGAAAGGTAGGTATTTAACTTGGAGACGAGGCAAGGAAACTGTACTAGGAGAAGAAGGAGAAGGAGGAGGAGGGAGGAAGAGGATGTACGAGACAAGAGGAAGGAGGAAGAACGAAAAAAAGAAGAGGCGGAACAGGAGGAGATCTTCAATATACTGTACAGTCGATGGTCAGAAGGAGAGGGAAGAGGAGATCCCGTCACCCATTATTGCCCCCCCTACCCCCTCCCCCCCACCCCCTCCCCACCACCACCACCACCACCACCACTCTGCCCCTGACACAGCAAAATTTACCATCAAATTACACACACACACATCATTAATTCCTCTCCACATATTCAACCAACACTTACAAGCGAGTCTCTACATGTTGATTCTTCTTGCTGTAACACACTACCCACACACACCCACTACCCACACTACCCACACACACTACCCACACACTCACCAACAGCCCCTCACAAATCGTTAAAAAAATATATACAAATATGCTGAAACAGTAAATAAAAGAAAAAAAAAATAATGTGTTCAGATTCCCCTTTCCACTTCAGAACTTTATAATGTGATCCAATTATCGATTCCCGGGTCTGTTATTTTCAAGGCTGGTTTGGTATAAAGTATGCCAAAACTCGGGTGTTTAATTGATTTGTTTATATATATATACATCATTTACGAGAGAGAGAGAGAGAGAGAGAGAGAGAGAGAGAGAGAGAGAGAGACTAACAGCATAACCCATCCACACAACACTAAATATTTAACCCCCTTCACGATTATCAGGACGGTGTATGGTATAACGTGGGGTGTATATGTATAGCGTCAGATGGAAGGCCCTGATGTATAAAAGGTCTCTCTCTTTAGGTTGAGGATGTGTAGAGAGTGACCCTGGGACCTGTGACGCTCTCATTTACCAACTCACGCAATCCCCTGACTTGTTCACGTCTTCAGCAATCTAGAGGACCCACACCACTTGTAAGACTGTGTGATTCTCAGAGTTTCATTGTTTGGCTGTCTGTCTGTCTGTCTTCTGTCTGTGTCTGCCTGTCTGACTGTATCTGTGTCTATATTATGTCTGTGTCTGTCTTCTGTGTCTTTCCTCTGTCTGTGTCTGTATTTCGTCTGTGCCTGTCTGTCTATCTGTCTGACTGTATGTGCCTGTCTTTTGTGTGTCTGTCTTCTCTCTCCGTCTGTATTCTCTGTGTCTGTCTTCTATCTGTGTCTTTTCTCTTCGTCAGTCTTCTGTCTTCATCTGTCTCTCCCTCTTGGTGTTTTTATTCTCTTCTGCTTTCCGTCTCACTACCGTCTCCCTACATACTACATATGACAAGAGAAACATATATAATGAATCATATACCCAGAAAACCAAGTGTGCATGTATGTATGTATGTATGTATGTATGTATGTATGTATGTATGAATGTATGTATGTATGTATGTAGCAGCCAAGCAGGAGTTCTGAACACCGTGGTATTGACACATGGGCAGCCTCTCTCAACCTCAACCAATTAGTTCCGGCACATGCAACCCTCCCCCCCCCTCCCCCCCAAAAAATAATAATAATAATAATAAAAACAGATTAAAATTACACTAAAAACACTAAATAAAAACAAAATCTAATTGGGTTAAAAAATACATGTGGACAGGTAGGTGTACAGTATGTGAGGCGTGAGGTAGGAAGGTGTGAGCATAGAGAGAGAGGGTGTATTTTACTCTTGGCCTACCTGTTGCCCTGGTTCCCGTGCCTCCACACCCGTCGGCCATCTCACCTGTGAAGGGGGAGGAAACAGAATTATAAATGACAGGTGAAGAAACAGAACGACGAGGCCACAACAACACTTGAACATATATAAGGGGGTATAATGACGGGTATAATAACAGGGATATAACGGGGAATAACAATGAACATAACAGTAAAATAACAATGTAAATAATAACAGTGGCATAACAGGGGTCACAGAACATATTAAGCACACTTGTTATTTACCTGTCCGCATGATAGGTGAGTCACCCCCCAGTACAGGTAAAAGGGTTAATGTTAACTCTTTTTTTTCACTTATTAACATAACTATAACAAATCAATTAATAATATATGCCTTAATAAAATTTTAACCCCAAAATAGTTATGTAAACCCGTGTGTGTGTGTGTGTGTGTGTGTGTGTGTGTGTGTGTGTATACGTGTGTGTGTGTGTACGTGTGTGTGTTGCAGTGGTGGTGGTAGTGATGGAGATATGGTGGTGGTGATAATAATGGTGGTAGTGCTACAAGTGATGGTGGAGATAATGGTGGTGGTGGTGGTGGTGAGAAACATGGTGGTGATGGAGACAGTGGTGGAGGTGATGGGGACAGTGGTGGAGGTGATGGAGACAGTGGTGGAGGTGATGGAGACAGTGGTGGAGGTGATGGAGACAGTGGTGGAGGTAATGGGGACAGTGGTGGTGATGAAGACAGTGGTGGAGGTGATAAAGACAGTGGTGGAGGTGATGGGGACAGTGGTGGAGGTGAGAGGGAGACCGAGGTGAGGGGTCCAGGTGGGTGGGGTCAGACCTCAATGCAGCATAATGAGGTGATCACTTCTCCTGGGCGACAATTATGCCGCGATAACACAGGTCCTCTGTGATCACCAGCATCCATCATCACTCACCCGGCGGTCATCCCACACTCTCGGGTCGATTTAGCATCATCACACATCAACAGAGGTCCGGTGTGGGACCTCCACGCCTCACTCTCATCTACACCACTACCGGGGAGACAGAGTTACAACTTGCATGATGCATCTGGATAGATACTAACTGAACCACATACACGAGTCACATTAATGTACTGTAGTGTGTGTAGGCTCATATGTGCACGGGTCGGATAATATTTTCAGGAGCCCCAAATGACAAGCTATCTTAATTAGAGAAACAACAGGAACGGTCTGGGCAATGTTGGTGAGAACTGTCGATAGGAGGCTGGCGTGGTCACAGGGACGATCTTGATCTTGTCTGCCCTGGCTTGCCCTCGGGAGACAGACTGTTGTAGTAGTGGTCCTCCCTCGCCTCGTCACATACTGCACTCCTCTCTTACCTCCATAATTAAGCTCCGTGCTTCATCACCGTTGTCAGGGGTGTGAACACTTGTGCTACTTCATAATACCACGCATGGAGAATTCAACAGTGAAGTGGAATTAAGGTGCGTCCACACGTGCGTATATCGCCAACATGTGATCAACAAGAGGAAACACCGATCTAGTGCACGCGGCCGCACCCTACCAGAGTTGGAACCCTGTGCCTCATTTAGTCTTGTAAATCACATGTAGGCGACGAAACGTACGCACGTATGGACGCACCTTCAGCAGGACTTACCAATGGTCTTCAACCCCCCACCCTCCTCCACACATACAGGGTGGCGCATAAGTTGCATTACCGAGAACAATATAGTTAATACTTACTACTCTGTAAAGCTGTATTTATGAGAAGACACATACATGTTCTTGGTTAATTATTGCACTATATTGCTTACTGGGTGATGATCCTAGTCACTTCTCGCGCGCCCTTCACCCGGTCCCTCCATCTTGGTCTTCCTTTCGCTCCCCTACGTACTGTATACACTCACTCCGAAAAGTTTCTTTACGATTTTGTGTGAGACAATATGACACAACGGACGAAGGATTCTGACAGCCCTATCGAGACAACAAGAGCCATAGTGTTCATTTTGAAATTCATGGCAGCCCTCCGTAAAGATACTTTTTGGAGCGAGTGATACAATACAGTCTTCATACAATGTCTCATTATTTCGTATATGCAACGATATTTTTTTTTTATATAAACGATTTGATTTTTTCTTCGGGAATATAAAGTTGTGAACCATCCATCTATCACCTACATCTAGCCGCTGTATAACACTGAGTGAACCAAAGCTCAATCTTAGACAACACCTGATCTTTAAGCAGCAGTGTTAAGGTGTCCACAAGACTCAAACCAATCACAAATGTATAACAGGTGTGATAAACAACGACAAAAAATAATAAGTGTGTGTGAAGCGGGGTGAGGCGACTAGTAACACCTCTCACTGTTCAATGCATGGAAGAAGTGTTAGAGTGGTAGAGGCTAGACCATGTACATTACAGCCAGCGCCGAGATGATGATGGGTCTAACTTCTGCACACATCCTTATCAATAGAGAAGAATAAACTCGTTCACTTGTTCTCTAGTCAGTCTTTTTACCACAACCAGTTAAGCTGGTCGAGGGAGGGTGCGTTTAACGGTGATAAGGGGAGGGGGGTGGACGCTAGAGCCGGGTACAGTCATCATACTTCCACCACACCCGACTATATACGCACCGCCAGGGAAGATGACACAACAATCGATATAATCACATACACAAAAAGCTGCCCAGGAAACACTACTTACATGATATACCAGAGAGAATAATTCCAAACTGGTTAGCATGACACAGGGAATATATACCGGTGAATGAACAGGGGTGACGTGGACATTGTAGTACACAACAGCCGCCACCGCCAAGGAGGAGGTATTGACCCTCAAAGCCTCGTCATGACACTTAACACCAGCCACTATCACTCTAAGTCTTGATGAACCAGAGAGATGTATCACTCAGTAGGGTTTAATGGTTGATGAACAGTACCTTTACTACAGTACGTGCTTAAAAGACCCCTAGCTGTTAAAGAGCATTATAACATCATTAAGTCTTGACGGGGCTGGGCAGGTAAACGAGATGAAGCATCGTGGAGGTTAAATAAACGAAGCAAAACAAAGTCATCCATTACTCATAACCCAGAGTGAACCCTGAGCAACTGCCTCTGTTCACGACTGTATTTACTGGCACTTTCGTCAGCCCAAATGATGGCGAATTACTGACTGATAATGGAAGAACACATGACCTCGTCTCTCTCTCTTCTCTCTATCTTCTCTGATCTAATCTACGAGAGAGAGAGAGAGAGAGAGAGAGAGAGAGAGAGAGAGAGAGAGAGAGAGAGAGAGAGAGAGAGAGTGTACATAAGGATAAAACCAATTTATATTTACATTATGTACGGTCTCTGTCCTGCAGGTGAGACACAGATTAAGGTAAGTTAAGGAAGGTTGGGTAAATCAGTTTGATCTACCTGTATATACACAAGAGACCCAAACCTGTACAATGTCGCAGTATCGTCTTATTCCACCAATACAGCCACGGGAGAAGAAGCATTGATTTCTCACCTGTCAGTAAAGTTATTGAGTGATTAAGAGCCAGCGGGAGAGATGGTGACTGACCTCGTCCTGGCTGGCCATGAACATCCAAGAAAACCCAATTGGTAGGTCTTAAATGAGTCTGGGACGTCTTGTTAATCCAATTTTAAACCCAAAATAATTTCCGTGTCTACATGATTCGAATCACCTGAAGAATCTCTACTCCAGCTTATCTTAGGTAAAATAACTTAAACTATCCTAACCTAACCTCATCATCCCAAATAATGTTAGGGTGGTCAATCTTTAGGTGAAATAAGCTGGGGTGGAGATTCTTCAGGTGATCCCAAAATTCATCTCATTTAAGAGCGACGAAGCAGACGGTTTCCGAGAGGGGGTGACATCATTAACGTGGTTACCAATGAGCCAAACTCTTTTCTTGGCGAGAATGATAACCGCCATTACGCTCGCTTCTGGTCCAATGAAAACCTCACTAGAACGACGACTGTCACATACAAACTCTAATCCAAGTGGTTTGTGATGGGCAAGTGTCAGAAGATACCCTGACAGGACCTGTATTCACGTGCATAAGCTGGATTTACTGTACCTTCTGATGTTTCAAACAGTTGTTGAACCTTTTACTGACAACCTTCCACTGCCCTGAGGAAGGAAGTTCTTATTTCAACAAGTCGGCGCTTTACATCTCACACCCCGAGTTCATTAACACCTAATAGAATGATCTGGACAACGCTGGACTGGACGACAAGTTCCTGCTGAATGGTCGTGCCTGGTCCCTGGAGGCTTGTAACTACATAACGGCTGACACATCCCCAGCTTACCCCTGTTATGTTGAGATGGCTGAGTGTATCATTCAACAAAAGAATTGAAAAGTGTATTTTCTCTACGTGTCCTGACTTTGGGCCAACCAGTATATGAATGTATAATTATATACAGTATAATGTATGTAACTCATTGGGCTCACTATTGCGTGTCTCTAAGATCACGTCCCATAATTGTCGTAGTTTTTTTTTATGAAAAATTCTTTACTGTCAAGAAGACTTAATACGCTAAAAACTTCCCGGGTTGAAGGAGAGGCTCCCGAGACAGTGATGCAAGACTTACCTGACCAATAAAAACTAAACAGGCGCTGCCAGTCACATAAAACTGTCAAAAACATGACTGGCAAAATGCTATCTTGAGGCGGCCAGTCTGTGTGCCGGCGGCTGGGGATCGCCAAGAGCTTCAGGAACATCTCCCGCTGCACCAACACCACCACCCTTCAACTTGTGCCCCTTAGTACTTTACGCATCACACTAAGGTCTATACACCTTGTATCACACGTCTGTACGTTCTCAGTGTGGAAACTGTTTGTGGTGGTGATGTCAGGTCTAGCCCTCCCGTGTTACAGGTGAGAATTACTCTAAACAAAGTGTCCTTGGAACTTATGTTGGTTAGGCTTCTGAGGATACGTTCATTGTTATAGAATGGCGGCTTGAGGAACCCTAGGAAGGCAAGCTCATCTTCAGTGAGGTACAGGATACGCCTTCATACTGTGATGGTGACACGGCATGTT